AATTACAATTAGCGTTAATTCAATTTACTGAAAGAAAAGGAAAAAAACCTCAAAAAAAAAACCAAAAAAAAGGGACCAAGAAAAGCTCCGCCGAATAAAGTAAAAAAAAATCTGTTTGCTAATTGTTTAGATATGTGCATAAAAATATGTGTGTAGTCATGTGCCAACCCCCAAATGGGCTTTATAATCAATTCATTTAGCGAAATCCGGACAAGTAAATAATGAAAAAACAGAGAGAATAAATCGAAAGAAAGAGAGAGACAGCATTTTATTGATACAGATACAGATCGAACAGCTGCCGATTGCCAAATGCCTCCAGTACTCGATAATCTTATGTACAAGCCAAAGATACACACACATTTATTTAGTGAAAAATCGAGGAAAATCGAGGAAAATGTGTTCGCCTCTGTTTGTGTTTTGTTAAGCTTTAGTAAATACTTGAAAATTTAATGCCGTTTGGCCAATAATTAAGGAAAAAACATTTCCAATAACCCCTGTGCCCAGTGGATGAGGTATGCCCCCTTCGCTTTTCTCCCCTGCACAACGTTTTCTTTTGATAATTCGCTCAACAATCTGGCGCATATTTTGAGATATTAATCATACGCACAGTTGCCAACTTTGATTCGCCACGCAGTGAATGAAAATTTAAAGTACACAGACAGAAAAAAGGAAGAAAAAAAAAACAACGCATTACTCGAGAAAATCTCTATTTCCATTTAATCACAGGAAGCGGCCAAGGGAAAAACCAGTTGGAGAATGAGAGAACAAACATCAACGAACAATTAATGGGAAGACAAGTTCCGAAAAAATTGGGAAAGAAGTAAGTGAGAAATGGGAATGGCAAAAGAATGCAAAATCGAATTGTAAACAGTGTGTTCGATGATGGCACACAAAGCCCAAGGAAAACCATTAAGAAAGCATCGGACAAACAAAAGGCAAAAGGAAAATACTCAAGGGCCGTTAAAAAAATGTGAAAACCAAGGTTGCGGTTTAAAAGATTTCAGCATTAAGTCCCTTCAGGGATTTATTCTTTTCTTGTTATATTTTTATCTCTTTCGAATGTCTTTTTCATTGAAACTGTATTTATTTCCTATTAAATTATAATTTTTTACTTGCTTTTCGAAAGCACAAGCAGCTTAAAATGTAATTGGCAATTAAAAGGTATTTATGCACTTGATAAAAGTTTATTTGTCCAACAAAAGTTAACGTTTTATATTAATTATTAAAGTGTTTGTAATGTTTAATGCCAAAGACAAAACCAACTTTTCTTTTCTTTTTATAAAACAAATCAAAACCATAAACTATAAAATTAATAAACTATAAAATAAACTACAAATCCATATTTTAAATAAAATTGAATAAAACGTTCCTATAAAAAATAGAAGTATTTAGTCTCCATATCTTAAATTTAAAACCAACAATTTGTTACGCATGAGTAATTTTTTACAAAAAATCTCAAGCTGTTTTTATAGAAAGGTCTACAAGCACTTTCCCTTTGCAAAGACAACCAGTGAAATTAAATAAACATATTTTCGCCAAAACTTTAGTTTCAAAATCACCTGAAACGCTGCGTATGCGCGGTATTCTTTACAATCAAGTTCCATTTGCAATTTCACTTACCTTTTATCGTTTTGAAGGCCTTTTACTTCGTTGTTGTTGTTTTTGTTGTTTGCCTTGGATTTTCTCCTTTTCCGCTTCGCTTTTCAAAAACTTTTCGTTTGCTTTGTTTCAATTTAAATTTAGGTTTTTTTTCGAATTTTCAATCCGTATTCAGCTTGATGTTGTCTTTTATCTGGTGTCTCTGCCAAAGTCACAACAATAACCGAAAAAAAACAACAAACATTGGGTTTTAATGGGGGTGTGAGGGAGCATGTGTGTGTGTGTGCGATAGAGATCGCATATATATATATATATATATATATATATATATAGAACTATATAGAATTTCAAAACAAAAGTTGCGCGCCCAGGAAGTTCACGATTGTTGATTGTTGTTGCTGTAAAACGCCCGTCGGCGTTCGATGCCAAAATACCTCGTTGTACCGAAAAAAACACATTCCAAACACGAACACAAAAACTATTTTCCAAAAAAAAAAACACGAATCGAGAATTAACGAAATTCCAATAAAAAAAAAGAAAGTTAAAACATGATATCACTCATGTTTGTTATTTATTTATTGGGCAGAAATCATAAAAACTGTAATGCGAATAATGCAAAACAAACAAGGATACTTTACATTGTTCGATTAAATTATTTTCGAACTAAAGGTTAAGGTAAAAATAACACGAAAGGCACACAGAAGTTTAATTTCAATAAACAACGATTCTCCACACGTTTTATTTAAAAAGTGAATGAAAAAAAATTTAAAACGATCACACAGTTAATAATTTACTTAACATTAAATGCAGTTTGAAATTGGTTAAGAATACTTAAAAAAGAAAAAGAAACGATGTTCCAGGACACTTAAATAAACAGAACAAAAAGTATTTAAATAGAGGGTCACACAAATAATTAACATTTTAAGATTTACGCAATGGTTCAAGTACAATTTTCTAGAACATTTTAAAAAAATTTCTCTCGTTTTTTTATTGTCAGACACTTTAATATATTTTGTTTTAAACGTGGAACAAACTTAAAAAAAGTTTTAAAAAAATTTGCAATTTTTGCTGTTTATTGTCACGCACTAATTTGTTTATTTTTTTTTAAACTTGAATGCCAACGGTATTTAGTAAGGTTGCTCCTCTGGTATTTTGTTTAGTGGGTGTGTGTTTTAGTGGGTGGTGTGTAATCGTATCGCTGGGACTCCAAGAACTACAACAACGCAGTGTTATCCGCTCGGAGGCTGAACGCCTACTGGATGTTTGGATGTTGCACGCGCCGAAAGCTTCCGCAGAATGTGCCGTTACGTTTGCCAAAGCACGCAACGCGTCGACAGCGCCGTCGGCTGAGCGGCGACAGCGACGCTGACTTCGACGTGCACGAACACGACCGAACACGGCCAAACACGAACAGACACGACGGAAACACCGGACTGGACTCGGAAACTCAGGGAAAGATTTCCTCAAGTACCATTTCGAACATTTAAATATTTAAATCTATCAAAAATATTTAAATTTTCCATTCAGTATTTTCATAGGTTAAGCCTACGGAATTCCTGTTCGTAAGCACAATTTTTACGTTTCTGTCTAACTATTATTATTTTACTTTTGATATGGTAACACAAAGTATCAGCAAACAAACTCAATTTTCCATTTAACAGTTTTAAAGTAAACTATACGTTTTCGCAACTTACATTTAAGTTTAAAAGTTTAAAATAAATAATTACCCGTGTTTTTTTTGTATTCCATTGTCCAATGGCAGTTGGTTGGCCCGAATATAAATAGATAAAAGCCTTTTTCCGCTGGTCTCTCCTCAAATCTAGTTTTTAATGCGCACGCGCCCGAGTTTTAAAACGAACTAAAAGAAGGAAGGCACAAAAAAAGCGATGTGCGCATGGAAACTAATTGGAATAGTTCCGTTGAAAGGCTGCGTAATATGTTCTCTTACGCTCTTTCTTTAATCCACTTTGCTCTCCAAATTCATGTTGTGCTCAAAACAACTGTTAATACAATTTCAAAGCAATAATGAGATTGTTGATTAAAACCTAACAAAGATTTAGTGTTATTAAATATATTTTATACTGATTATTCAGCTGCATATTTTTTAAAGAGCTGTTTCTTGAATTTTTCTAAGATTGCTCATTAAGGGTTTTTTTTTGGATTGCCGCCAGTTGACTGGCCTTTTCCATTAATTGCATTTTCGCCAGCGCGGACGTCCAAAAGCGCAGCGCCTTCGCCCTGATCCATAAAACATATCTGCCTGAATAATTCAAGGCAAATATAACGCAGTCTACACACGCCGCCTCCCGAAAACTCTACACGTCCTCGCTCACGCACCCCACACAGTGGGCAATTTCACCAGTGCAACTCGCAAAAAGTATTTGTTCGAATGTTCCCGTTCTTATGTCTTTAAAAAAGTTTTTCCATTAACTTTGTTGCTTACCAAGTTTATTATAATATTGTTTTTACAAAGTAATTTTAAAGAATGTGATTTAAAGTGCAGAGCATTAAATTGAAATAATAATTGTTAGTTTAAATTTTAAGTTGAACAATGAATAGGCTTTGCATTTGAACTTGTTCTAGTCAATTAAAGTGTTAACAAGATTTAATATAAGATGAAATAGGGTTTGTACTTCGTGTTAAGTAAAACCCAAATAAAATGTTGTGTTCAGATTAGCAAGTATTTAAAAAACAAAATAGAACTTTTAACGAACTAGATAAGCGTAGTGAAGTGGGCCTACTGTTCTCAGGTGTTCTCTTTGGAGACTTTCCACGGAGAGTGTGGCGCTGCTGGGGCACTGGCCTTCCAGTCGCACTCTCCATCCCGACTTCCCTTTGGCCTCTCTTCCAGTCGGCCTCGTGTGCTAACAAGTGGAAAGCAACAGTTGAAATGAATGAAAACTTTCGACTCTCCTCGTTTCTCGACGTCGCCGCTGGCAGAGACGGCGACAGCGAAGTCGGCAGCGCAGGCAGCTTCATGTGTTGCTTCGCTCTTCGCTTTTCACCTGCTAAATTCAGTGGGTTGTGGGTTGTTTTCGGTGGGAAGTGGGTGGTGTTGGGTTAGTGGGTGGTGGTCGTCTTTCCGTTAGCTGTTGCTTTTTCCAGCCAACACACTGTTGCTCTCGCTGAGACGTCTGTTTTTTTGTTTTTCGGTGGGGTGGGTGGAGGTTTGGTGGGGGGTTTTTTGGTGGTTTTTCGGAGGGGTTTCTCCGAGGTGGATTGCTTTTGGTCCCGTTAAGCAGCAACTAATTTTTGTTAATCACACCTTAATGACATGAACTTGACACCATTCCATTGCCGATGCCTCGATTTCCATAAATTAGGCAACCAAATAGACAACGTGAAATGTGGTTTCATGCACAGCAAACAAAGTACGCCACATTAAAAGGAAGCAAAGAACATTTTTTGCAAATATAATTAAAAGCACTTTTATTTAGTCATTTAGTTTTCAATCTTCAAAAAATGATTATTTTTAATACATTTATTGCACATCTTAATGGTATACTGGGAAATTAATAAAAAAAATGGTTTTGTTGTTCCTTAAACCATAAATAAAAGAATATCGAAACCAATTTAAGTGATAAGGGCAAATATATCAAAACTATTACTTAATGCATTCAACACATTAGCTATATGGTTTTGTGTCCTTTAATATACATTTTGAATATGATCCCTTATAAATCCCTTAAAGTTATATATATAGTTTTAATATTACTGCATATTACCTTTGACATTATTGCAACTAAAAAACAAGTTTGACAATAAATATTTTTTCTTTTGTCTAGTTGCTGTTGCTACAATTTAAAATAATGAATAGAATTTTGGGAGACTTGTTTTACAAATACCTTTCTTAGGAACTTTTTAAAACAAACAAAATGTTGACAACGGATTTGTCAAATGTATAACTATTTAAAATGAACAAGTATACATATATATTGCTGACCTTAAAAATCTTGTTTTTTTTCAGTGTGTGTCTGTTTGAGCGACACTTAATTACAATGTGCCAGCTTAAGGGCAACTACACAAACAACTGCAAATATAAAGTGCAGCCCGCAGCAATTGCAACACACACACACATACATTTACACACTCAAGCATGCACACATTGATTTTAATGAGTTGGCAGGCGACAAAGAAAATCAAGTCGGTTTTGACAGTCGCACGAGTAAATCAAAATTTTTATACACATTTTTCCTGATTTATTACACAACTGCACATTAAAACGAATTTGTGAAAAATGACTTGCAATTAATAGACTTGTTCAAATTTAATAGTTTGGCAAGCACTTCATATTTATTACGAGAGCTTAGATCATTGTTTTGGTTATCATTGCTTTTAAATATTATAATAAAAAAAACCGAGAAAATAAGACTTGTATATATTTTTTTGGTAGGGTTTTGTTGTAGAACTATTTTTTCAATGACTCACAAAAATTTCAAAATAAAAAAAAACTTATAGCCAAATTAAAATTTATTTGCGAAATTCAATTTAATAATATAGTTTAGTTATTTATTCATATAATAATTATAAGCTATAAGGAAAAGCACTAAATTAGTTCATGGAGTATTTAATAACAATTTAAATGTAATATTATAAAGCTTTTTGAAACATAATAAATGTATAAATAATATCCACTAGCCTTAGTCTCCTGAACGAATTTCACCTTAAGAGGGTTTGATATCCATAGATAAGTGAGTGATAATGGACTGACCTACTCCCAGATGAGATGCATCATCGTTAGCGGCGTGATAAGCAGAAACAGCAGCGCTCCCAGTGTGATGGCCTCCACTGTGCCGGCTCCACCAGACGCATATTCATCAAAATAGTTGCCATATATGGCGAAGGTCATTAGCTGGCTGTGCGGCTGTCGCAGTTCCATCTTAATCCTGGTTAGATTATCCGTTTCCTCCGTTGACCAAATTAATTGCGAGGGCTGCAGGGCGTAGAGATTGGATGAGCCGAGAGTGCTGGGCATAATGAGACGCCGTGGTTTTCGCACAAACTCGCCAAGGATCTGTAGTTTGGTGAACATGACTGGGTGTCCTTGCTGCTCGCCGATTAGCCCACAACTTTCCACATTGGCACCGCTGCAGGCGAACAAACCACACAGCCGGATGGCACTGTACTGCTCCTCCTCGTAGCGCCTTTCGCCCACCCAAACACCCAATCTGTAGCTATATCCCGACAGCGATTCCACTAGCGTCCAACTAATCTGAAACTCACAGCACAAATCCTTCTGGCATATCCTTTTGTTCACCGAACTTTCCTGGACCATGGGCAATTCCCAGGTGGCGAATTTATCCAATTCCGGTTGCTGCAGGAGTTTTAGCTTAATCGGTGACGTCTTTTCCGGTTCCAAAATCTCATCCGTGAGAATCTGATCCTCGGGATTTAGGGGAACTTTAGCCAAAAGCAACTTCCTTTGACCCTCCATCTCGTCCGTGATCATTAGACGAGTCAAAGCTCCTTGTTGACCTGCATAAATGCCACTGCCACTTATTCCCGACCGCGGAACACTTGCTCCGGAGGCCAGCAGATTCACACGATTGGCCCAAGCCCAACCCTGCTGAAATTGGGATGCTGTAAAAAAAAATAAAATAAAAGTCTATCCTTACAATATAAACTTTTAAAATAAGGCAAACATTACATCATAAATCAGTACAAAATCATTATAATTAATAGATGAATGGCTTTTCTTGAAATTTTATTGGTATTATTAGCACCAAAATAAATAGTAAAAAAATTGCTAAAATTGGCGTGCTGCAAATTAAATATAAATTTTCAAAATAAAAAAAAAAACCATTAATCAGTCAAAAATCATCATAATTCAAAATACAGCTTATTAAAAGGCAACAAATAAATACATATTCACATCGTTTTGTTATTTGTTTTGCTAAGGTTTTGTAAGGTTTTTTTTTATAGAAATCATTTCTTAAATCAAAAAAATTTTTTTTTTCTGATATATCACAATGTAAAATGTAAAGAAAACTATTTTAAATTTTTCATGCATTATATTTCCTAGTAAATATCAATTACCTGTGAGAAAAGGCAGCTCGGAGTTAAACATTTTGGTGACTATCAAATGGCGAATGCCCAAACGCTCCACCAAATCCTGAGCGGGCGTATAGAAGAGCATGTCGAAGCAGATAAAATGAGCGAAGGTGACATTGAAGTCGGTGCCAAAGGTGGCCAATTCGGGCGATTCAGTTCGATTGGTGGACGGTTCCAGGTATAGATTCCACTTTCTGTAGCGAGATACTACAGCGCCCAGTCGATCGAACACCACATTGGTATTGAAGATGTTATATCCCCTATTGGAACAGGTGGTTCCCGTAGGACAATTCTCTGGTGACCGCTCCTTTACGTTTATAACGAGATAGGTGCTATATTCCCTGGCCGCACAGGCCAGTCGCCTTAGAAAAGGAGCTATTTCGGGATCATCACCTGGCTGCTCTTCACATAAACTTTGATCCGTGATCTCCGGCACCGCTGTCAGAGTGAGTACTGTATTTAGAGTGGCCTCTGGGAAAACAATGATATCCGTAGTGCCATTGCCGGAGTGCATGAGCTCCAGATAACCGGCCAGATTCGATTCCAACAGCTGTTGCGAAGTAGCGCCCATTATCGCCGGTCGAAATTCCGCCACACCAGCTGTATAAAACTGTGGCCCATCATCGCTAGCCACAGCAACACTTATTACAACACTGAGGAGCCACACAAATCGACCGAGAAATCCAAACATTGTGTGCATTGTTCAACGATCGCAAGCCGACTAATCCCAACCGGTTTTATTCGTTTCCCTCTATCTCTCGTATACTTACTCATATATATATACATATATCTACACGTATATTTTCCACGCCATATCAGCTATCGGAATTATTTCGAACTATCTGTCGAGATTTTCTATCTAATCGGTTAAATCGGTAATCAGGCGTTTCGTAAACGCGTGCAAGGGTTTTAAAAACGTTTTGTGAAGTAGAATTTCGGGCTATTATCTGTATAAACTTGTCTTTATAATGCGTTTCGGCAGGCACATTCCTTCTATAGAAGACATTTTGTATACATATAGTATTAGGTGAACTCCCCATCTTTCAAAAACTCAGTGAACATTAAATTTCAATAAAATACTAATCTTGTTTATATAAACAGTACCGATTTTTATACATTTTGTTGGTGTTCCATAAAAGTCCCTAAATTCCAACTGGAGTAAAATACCCTGTATTAAACTTAATGGGTTAATAAAATAGATACTAAAAAGCATACTTTTTTAATATAATTTGTAAAGCTCCTAGCAAATTTTTAATCAAATTTCTCAGTTTTTAATGTTCATTGTTTACTGGATCCTTTTTATATTTTAGGGTTCTTGTAACCGCAGGCCAATTGCTCATCGACGGTGCCCACACCAAAAGTGCAATCGTTGTAGTAGTAGTTGCCATAAATGGCAAAGGTCAAGAGGTTACTGACCTCCTGCGATTGCCTTAAGCCAAATCGCACTTGGTGGCTATGAAAAAGAGAGAAAACTTATTAGTTAAAATATAATTTAGATAGATCCTACAACAATAAAAAAAATGTTATGCTTAATTTTCAAATTAAATAGTTTAATTTTATAAACCTTAAAATTAAAACGAAAAATAATTAAGTTGAGTACAACATATTCTTATTAACTACGTTTTTTTAGCAGTGTAACTCACCCCTCCTCGGAGGTCTGCTGTTGAGACCATTCGAAATATTTCGGCTCCAGAGGCAGCAGATTATCGAGCAGGGTGTCGGGGAAGAGAAGGAACTCCCGTGACTGTGGATAGGTGACCCGGATTTCCAGATGGGTGAAGGTCACCAGCGGCTGCTCAAGGTCAGGCAGCAGCCGACCACAATCGTCTATGGAACTCCCCGAACAGGTGAACAATCCACAATTGCGTATATAATTCACATCCAGTCGCTTTTCATTGCGCCAACCCTCGAAAATTCCAATTCGATAGCTATAGGAACTGGAGTTCTCTACGGGATTGGCCAGGGATCTCCAGGCCAAGTCGTAGTGACAGCAAAAGTCACCGTGGCATAGAATCTTGCTGAGATGGCCACTCTTTCCGGATTCAATTGGCAGCTCCTCGCTGCTGAAATTCTCCAGATAATCGCGCTTTATGTTGAAACGGGAACTGGTGGCCACCTGGTGATCCCTGAGCTCCCTCTTCATCCGCCTCCGGCCCTGGTATTTTGGTACCTGGGCCACATATATAGTCCGCTCCCCGGCATCCTGGCGCATCACCCTCTCCAATGAGCCACTGCGTCCATGGTAAATCCCCGAGCCACTGGTTCCCATGGCGGGATCACTTGCCCCGGCCGCCAGCAGATTCACATCGTTCGCATACGCCCAGCCCAGTTGGATCTGAACAGCTATTTTAGAGTAAATATATTACATTTTTAAAAATAAATAAAATTAAGTATATAATAAATGGCTGCAACCACAAAGAAAAATTGTCGTGGAAACTAAACTATAGTAACATGGACTTAAAACTAATGGGCAAGAAAAATTTCTCAATAAGATGAGTATTAAACTCATACCACGGAAGTTTCAAAATAAAACTTATGTGGCTTAAATGTCGGTACAGAAATGAAACTAAAAAGAATAGGGATTATATTATTTGGTATTACTTTAAGACCCACTTATGAAAACTAAAATTTAAGTTTTATTTTTCACATTAATTCAAATACTTTAATATTAATTCATGCAATTTAAAATGCATTTAATATTTTGATTTTATATATCATTTAAATGTGAAATTAAAAATGAATTCAATAGCCCGATCTTTATTTTAATTAAACATCTAACAACATTATAAATACTAAGTAATTTTGATTTTTGTTCCGAATTTTAATTGAAATATTCGAATGGCTGATTAAAAATCTTAAGCACTTGACCATTGTATGTATGACTTGTTTATCTCAAGAGTGTTGTGAGAGCCCTTAATTAGCAATCACTGATTGAACTGAAACACTTTTCATGGAACTCACCTGTGAGAAAAGGCAGTTGGGAGAACCACATGGCCGGGTAGACAAAGTCCGTGACTCCCTGATCCACCAGCTGGTGGGCAGGAGTATAGAACAGGATGTCGAAGCAAATGAAATGCCCGAAGGTGACCCCGAAGTCTGTCTCAAAGGTGCTCAGTTCGGGGAGGAAGGTACTGTTCTTGGGCTCGCCGTACAGGTGAACTTTTCGGTATCTGGACACCACCACTCCCTGGCGATCGAAGACCACATTGGTGTTGAACACATTGAAGCCGTCTAAAGCACACGATCTCGTGTCCTCGGGAACATCCTCACACTTTTGCTTCTCCGTCAGATTTATCACAATATATTTGCTGGCATTGCGGGCCGCACACGACAGGATCACCAGAAAGTCCTCGTAATAAGTGGCATTCGGATCACTCAAACAGGGATTTATCAGATGATCGGGATTGGGCACAAAGCTCGTGGCACCCATATCGTTGAGGGTGCTCTCGGGGAACACAATAATATCCGTGGAGCTGGCATTCTTCGATTGAATGATCTCCAAATAGGCGGCTAGATTATCGGACACTAGATTCGAGGGTCTGAACTCCACCACACCAGCCGTATAGTAATTCCTCTTTGAAACTGAAGCCTGGAGATGGAAATCCGAAAATCAAATGGGTCTTTATAATTGTTTATATAGTTTACCTGTTGGCTTAATTCGAACATTAACCCCAGGGTAATGCAAAGAAGGAAAAACCCTGAAGAATAAATCGCCATGCTCTTTGAACACTTAGATATTGGCAAATGACTTGCCAACTTCCAAACTTGGCTCTTTTTATAGAAATTCTCACGAAAAGATGGGTTAATCTTATCTGCCGGAAAACCCGTCGAAAACAATTTGTGTCTGAACTCGTTCGATTAAGTGGCCTCATATTTTGACATTCCAAATAACCAAAGAGACAATAATAAATAGAATAATGGTATTTACCATTGAGTGCCAAAAATAAGCAAGCAACATAAATAGAATTCAACTTGATTTTGTAAACATTTGTACTTCTAATGGAACATAAATAAAAGCCTACAAGTATATTTCCATTAAATGGACTGGTTTTATCAACTAGGTGACCCCCTTATCACCGATGACACTTCACATTTTGAGGGCTGCTAGGCAAAACTATTTTTGTTTTTCATACAAAAAGTTTTAAAAAAAAGTGTGTTAATATTTACTAATCTTAATCAAAGCCGACTTTTAGGCAATTTACAAAACTGCATTGTTTTTATTAATAATTGTATTGGCAAACAAAAAAAAATGCATCACCAAATATCACTAAAGTCGAGGAACCTAAAAATGCAAAACAAACTTGGAATGCACACTATTTATTTATCACTTCTCTGTGATATTTATGAAAGGCCAAAAAAATACATTTTAAAGGGCCTAAAGGATAATTAAAGGACTTTCTGCCTTGTTTGAATTCCATCCAGTATCTTCAAGTAGTCGAGATATTCATAATGATAGTACGGGCAAGAGATCGAGTTTGCCGAAAACTTTTCCAATTTCTTCGCATTCGATTGCTTCAGAGATTTTTTGAGAATGGTTCTTTGATTTACATAAAACTCCAAACATTTCTCAACTTTCTGCTGCGGAATAATGCTATCCAATTCCTCGATACGATCCGAGATTTGTAGCTCCAAGATCGAGCGTTCAATATTGTACGCCTCAAAGCCAAATTGAATGGCGAATTTGTCGGCTAGTTCAGTCTTGTTATTTCTCACTGCCGAACGAATTCTTGAAATCCAGTTGAGAAACTCTGTGTTGTCCTGCCAATGACCAGTGAAATTCTCCAGAAAAGTCTTTAGCTTATCCGTCACTTGCTTATGAATGTCGGCCAAGGGATCCTGTTGAATAGATTCCAATTTTTCTTTGATCCTATGACTTAAAAAAGATTTACTTTCCGATGCTCCTTGTGAGAGTACAAGGCACAGCAGAAAAAGGCTGAATTTCCAACTCATGTCCTTGGATTTGTAGAGTTTTACGGTTTTGCAAAATATAAGCTGACTATATTGAAACAAATAGAACTGCCCTTTTATATAGACTCGTTCGTATAACTTGGTATGTCTTAATTTAGATAAGCTTCTCTGTAAAATTCCACAAATTGTTACGCTTGCACAATTCGTTGAAATATAGATTTAATTTATTAAAATGCAATCAGCAAGGTAAAAAACTCAGAACAGATAGCTACGAGCTTTGAAGACAAAATTTAATTAAAAATAGGGTGACATGTGGGTTAACTGTTCTGTTATAAAATGTATTACATACATAAGAAGCGTTCTAAATAGTTTGTACTAATACGATTCTTGAAATGTCTATATTTTCCACATTTTTAAATAAAAGCAAAACAAAATAAAACAGAAATCTCTATTTTAATGCACACCCTCCAATTTAAATTAATTAAATTAAATTCAGTGATAAGAACAACAAGTAGAAATAACAATTTTAAAACCATAACTAAAATAATTGTTAACAAAAATAATATTTCATCGTTAAGAATCCCAATTCAATAATATATTTCACTTTCTTTATAATTCGATATAATCGACATTTCGTATTGTTAATTTTGTATTTTTGAAAATGTACTTAATTCCTCTGCTATAAGTGCCTTTATAATAAGTAAAATTGTCACAAATAAATAAATAAATAAATTTGTTGTATAATTGAATGAAAAGATATTGTTTGCATAAAAAAATGGTATCATTAGGCTTTGAAAATTAAAGTAGTAAAAAAGTCGGATATTTTATTAGCTTTTAATAGTATAAATACTGTTAATATCGACCAATAGGTGTAGTAAAAAAAAATAAAACTCAACTGAATGTGAGTAACCCGTTTGTATTGCAACCAGTCATTTTCCCTGGACATATACTTTGATCTCATTGGGCTCTGGTCCAGGTGATGGCCAGCATGACCAACGGCATCGTTAGCCATCCCCCAAGGATTGAGAGCCCAGTGGACCCGCTCCTGTATCCACAGGCCACCTGCTGCTCCTCGGTGCCATCGCCAAAAGTGCACTCGTTGTCATAGTAATTGCCATAGATGGCAAAGGTCAACAGGTTGCTCACCTCCTGAGATTCCTTGAGGGCAAAGCGAACATCATAAACGTAGCTAGGGATCATACAAATCCATTAAAATATACATTTTGATTGGCATAGAGATATTCAGATGTTTTACCTATCTTCATGGGGTTTCTGCTGCGACCATTCGAACTGATTGGGCTCCAAGGGCAGCAGGTTATCCTGCAGGGTGTCCGGTATCAGCAGAAACTCCCGCGACTCCGGATAGGTGACCCCGATCACCAGCCGCGTGAAGGCCACACGGGGCTGCTGGAGGTCACCCTCGGTGGTCAGCAGTTTGCCACAATCATCGATGGAATCCCCCGAACAGGTGAACAATCCACAATTACGAATGTAATTGGCATCCACATCCTGTTCGTTGCGCCAACCATCGTAGGTTCCCACTCGATAGCTATAGTACACACTACTATCATTCGCCGCATTCCTTTTCGCCAGCGATCTCCAGGCAATATCGAAATTGCAGCAAAAGCTGCCTTGGCAAATGGTTCTATTGATGGTGCCACTAATTCCCTGATCCAACTGCAGCAAATCGGATTCATAGTTCTCCAGATCATCCCGCTTCATGTATAAACTACTGGTTGAGGCCACCTCTCGGGGTTTGATCTCCGTCAGACTCCTCCGCAAACGCTTTGGCAGGGATCTACTACGGGTATATTTGGGCACCTGTGCCACATAGATACTCCTCTCACCGGAATCCTGCCTCATGACGCTGGTCAAAGTGCCCGAACGTCCGTGGAAAATACCCGAACCGGTGTTTCCAATGGAGGGACGACTGGCTCCAGAGGCCAAAAGATTCACATCGTTGATATAGGCCCAACCCAGTTGGGTTTGAACAGCTAGATAGGAAAATATAGAGAAATTAGACCTTTAGTTATATTTCATAAGTTATATAGATACTACTTTAACTGACTCAACTAATAAATTAATCAAATATTTAAAAGAAAATATAACTTATGTCTGAAAGTTCGATGAATTCAATTCTTAAGACGACATTATTTCTTTCAGTGCATTCTTATATACACCTTTTTATGTGATTTCAGAACCTTGGTGCATAAATATTTAATTATTTATGCTCTTTGGTCTTAAAAATCTTAAAAATCGCGTTTTTGATTATGATAGGACATTCTTTAGGGGCTTTAAATATTTAACCAAATAAATATGTTAGCGGTTTGTTATATTTCTCCTTTTCTCTTGTTCTAAAGAATTCGCGTTGAATGATTGAAACAATAAGTTAAAATCCACGATTTTATTTTTTTCTTCATACTCATGCAACACTTTATTTCTTAGCCCCTGCTAAACGACCACGTGCGTAGCTACATGTCATAGCTTTGCTGCTCGATTGCCAGCCATTAATGATTTTGTGGTCTTTACAACCCGATACCAATTTTTCGCTGTGCATAATCGGTTCACGGCACTTCATCTAGAGGGGTGGTGAGAGCCATCAATTAGCAATCGATTGGCCGCTTGATAAGGAACGCATGTCAATGAACTAGCCCCCACTTAAAGTACTTTATCTCTCACATTTACCTTATGTCTCACCTGTAAGGAAGGGCAGTTGGGAGAACCACATGACCGGGTAGACAAAGTCCGTGATGCCCTGCTCCACGATGAGCTGGTGGGCGGGCTGGTAGAACAGGATGTCGAAGCAAATGAAATGCCCGAAGGTGACCCCGAAGTCCGTCTCGAAAGTGCTCAGTTCTGGCCGGAAGGTGATGTTCTTGGCCTCGCCGTACAGGTGAATTTTTCGGTACCTGGACACCACCACTCCCTGACGATCGAAGACCACATTGGTGTTGAACACATTCAATCCGTTCGAGGCACACGGTCTCGTGTCCTCCGGCACATCCTCACACTTTTGCTTCTCCGTCAGATTGATCACAATGTATTTGCTGGCATTGCGGGCCGCACACGACAGGGTCACCAGGAACTCCTCGTAGAGCTCGGCATTTGGGTCACTCAAACAGGGATTTATCAGATCCTCGGGATTGGGCACAAACGTGGTCGAACCCACCGAATTCAGTGTGCTCTCGGGGAAGACAATTATGTCCGTGGCACTGGCATTCTCAGAGTTTATGATCTCCACATAGCCCTCGAGGGCATCCGACCAGGCCGACAAGCTGAGGATCGACTGGCGGAACTCCACCACTCCGGCCGTATAGTAATCCGAATCGGCCAAAGACGCCTGCAAATTAGCAAGAACCAAAACAATAACCATAAAATGCCAATCAATTAATCTCCGATTAAGACAGCCTAATCGCGATCGTAGCGTAACGTTAAGTGGTTTCCCAGAAATCCCACCTGTTGACTCATGCCGCACATTAGTCCCAGGATTAGGAGCACCAACAAGAGCCGCCACGAATTCTTCGCCATTTCCGATTGAATCTGACAATTGCTAATGACTGGCACAGCCTCAGACATGGGGGCTTTTATACCTTCTGTAGGTGTCCATAGGAGTGGCCACCATTTAGCGGGAACTACTTAATCTTATCTGCGAGTACCGAATGGTTCGCTCTTTCCAGAGCTGCCAATATTTTACATTTAACATTTAATAACTTTCAAAATGGTTAAAAACCATATGGATTTCTATTAATTGGATTTGGGGAGTATGGAATTAGGTTAAAAACTCTATGGAGTGTAGGGAAAATGAGGTCGTTTTCTACACAAAACAATTTTCAATACAATACATGGCCACAAAAAATAATGTTTAAGAAAATTCCAAATACTACTTGCCTTTAAAAAACTACTATTTAATATAACAATAAAAAAATGTACAATAAAAAAATGTATTTTATATTTTTTAATTTCGGAAACAACCAAAAAAGAGGACTTCTAACAACCAGATCAAATTATAAATAACAAAAAAGGTAATACAAAGTTAAACATTTAAGGGTTTTATTTTGTTGCTTAATCACATACAAATGGATATTGAAAACTTAAAAAAATAATAAACATATTGGCATTTCCGGACTTCTTTAGCCCTTTTCTAGCCAAAACGGCTGCAAAAAGACCAAATGGATTGCACTAGATCGGTTAAATCAGTGAAATTCGATGGTTTCTTTGGGTTATTCTGGTTTTGAGTTATTCCGGGAGTCATGTCCGCAATTCATGAACATGATTAGTTGGTTGGCTGTACATTGGACTGGCTGCGCTTGGGACAAATATTTTGTTTTTCGCCAGTCTTATCGCCGCACCCCAGACTATCCAAGTACGATGTTCTGTTGCTCCCCGACTGAACTATATGCTATACTATATACGCCTACTTCTTTATCATCGCACTGCAAATAAATCAATTTATTTCTCTCGATTCTAACTACATCATTGATGTTTATTTGCCATCATTAAATGTTTGCCATCCATTACCACAATTGGCGAAATAAATCAGAGCTCGGCTGCTAATGTTCGTAATAGTTATAGTGCATCTAAGTTTTCTTTGATTTCCTTTTATCTTTATTGCACTGGCAAGTTTCTGCTATCGGGAAGGTATTACTGTATTTATTATGCAAACGTGTGGCTCATAGATTCGCTGATTTCAAGCCCTGATTTGAGGTAGTCAAATAATGAAAGAGTTCTACGACCTTTTATTTCACTTTAAGGTCTTTGATTTTATCTGATAATATGTAATTTAAACAACTTTAATCTGAAATTTGAACGTTGCCATTGACAGTTGGCATTTTATCGCAAGTTGTCAGAGTTTTTATAAAGCCATATAAAATGTTATCTCCACCTTTCCATGTTATCTTCAATTGTGTCTGGCTTTTCTGTCCAATGACACTGGTCAACAAGGTAAGGAAGTTTCTTTATTTTAACTTAAAAAGTTTAATAAGTAAGGTAATAAAGAATAAAATATAATTCATTATCCCAAACGATTTGTATGATATGATATGATTTTCTTATAACAAATTGCATTTAATCAAGAAAGA